AGAGTGGTGCTTAAAGGAAACTCATCAGAAAAAAACAGGTGGTTTCTACCCTGTGTGTGCTGGAGTGTTTAGCAAATATTAACTCTGAGGACAAATCTCTTATGTTTGCTAGTCAAGTTTTCTACCTGTGCTAAAATTGAAGGAACTTATTCCCCTTTGCTGACCTTCCTTGTGGATAATAGCTGTGAATAAGAGAGTTGCTCACTGAAACTCTTTCAGAGTGAATCACTCAATGCTGAAATGCTTTCTCCTGAGCTGGAGAAGCTTTCCATTAGGATTACTCCATCAAAGATCTCCCAGGGTAATTAGCTGGGTGCAGCTCACCCAGCTGGTTCTGTCTCCATAGACTCACCACACAGGGAGAGCAGCTGTACATGTTGCTCACTCAATTGGGACTTGCTGAGAACAGAGGAATGGCAATAGTGACAAATATCTGGATCTTTATAACAGGTTTGCAAAGGAAATGTGGTCTTACAGCCCCAGCTTACTGAACCTGCTCCTGTCCCTTTTTGTCCATCCTTCCTCCCTTCCGTATCTGACTACATACTCTCTAGCTATTTCCTAGTCTTCCTTCTTCATCCAATGCCAGCCTGGACTTTGCTTCCAATATTTATTTTCTATCTAGAGATTCATCTCACTTTTTTTTCTCCTTGGTGCAAATCCAAGGTTGGCCAAGGATAATTCATCTTTAGCCATAAGAGTCTTTGCTGTTCCTATGTTCCTATGTTTTCTACTGCACTGCCATTCTTCAACTGAGCTGGCTCCTGCTTTCTATCCAATCTACTGCCTTTACCTTTCTTTCCCTCCTGCTAAATTTAAAGATACTTCTGTGGCATACACATCTGAACATCTTGAACAAGCCAAGAACTTCTGTGACCACACTCTGCCCTCAAATGGCCATGCTCTGCCCCCAAACCTGATCATATGGTTGTGAAAATCAGACTGAAGTAGTCTCCAGTCTTTGCTATCCCCAGCCTTAGGATTTCTTAGGGACAAAGTTAGTTGGCACAGGCCAAGATCAGCCTGGACAGTAATAGTGACTGCACTGATTACAGGACACGTCTTGTCCTGGTGAACTTGGGAATATAAACCTGTTCTTGGCATCAAGGTTTAAAAGAAGGTAGTGTTCTATGCTACCTGAGCTTGGAAGGTGTCTCTGTTTTGGGTTCAGAGGAAGGCTGGGACCTCAAAGAAAAATGTGTGGGCAAAAGATCTGAAGTCACATCACAGAGCCTGCTTCTGCCATGCAGGACTTCATGCAAGATTGCATTTTTGATGGGTTAGTGCTTGGACTAGATGATCATAGTGGTCTTTTCAATCTTAATGATTCTGCAATTCTATGATCTGTGTTCTGCTTATGGCTGTTGCATGGAGGAGTTATGGACAGCACTGGGAAGCCAGAATCCTGTCCCAAAGGGAGCAGCTCCACTTGTGGGCCCCAGCCTGCCTTCATCTCACCTTGTTTCTCCCTGTTCTTTACTATGAGATTGGTAAGGTGCTAGAACAGGCTGCCCAGAGGGGTTGTGGATGCCCCATCCCTGGAGGTGTTCAAGGCCAGGTTGTATGGAGCCCTGGGCAGCCTGGTCTAGTACTAAATGTGGAGGTTGGTGGCCCTGCCTGTGATAGGGGGTTGGAGATTTATGATCCTTGAGGTCCTTTCCAACCCAGGCCATTCTGTGATTCTGTGTGATTCTGTGACCCCAAATGTTTTACATTCCGTGTTGCCCAGCAACACAACCCATCAAGACTGACCTACATCTCATGTTACATAAAATGTTCCTTATCTGGAGATGGGAGCAGCAATTGCCCTGAGGCACAGGAGGTCCTTCCATAGTAAAGCCTTCTTGGCAATAGCTCATGTATAACAGGAGACTCCTCTTTGCTAGTCTGCCTGAGAAATCCTGATTTCTTCCATGCCTAATTTCATATCTCCACCCAGGGTTTCTATTTGGCTACAGTGACTACACACTCTTCCCATGGGAGCACCAATCTGCCCTGCAGACATTTGAGATGCCTTGAGGGTTCTTGGGAAGACTGGTGCCTCACTCAAATAGCTGGGATCGCTCCTGGTGGAATTGGCTCTCTCTACATGGATTACATAAAAGCTCGGTTTACAGTGCTCTCAGTTACAATGCCAGGATCTGAATCAGACAAGGAGACCTTGCCCTGACTAAATCAGGCATGTGTAGGAGGTGATTTGACTTGGCCCTTGTTTTCCCTCAACTCAAGGCTTTATTGCCATTGATACGGAAATTTCTATGCTGCCTTCTGCTCTCCTTGAATGTGTTGTCCCTATTTTTCCCTCACAATGTCAGTTTTCTTCCCTTATTTGTGCAGATCAGATCAACAAGTGCACCAGGGACAAAGGAGGAGACAAGGTGGGTATGTAAGATCAGAGTAAGGTCTTCAAAGGGTCTAAAATGCTTCTGAAAACCATGACAGGTGGCAAAACCAACCCTTCTTCAAAATTAGCTTTAGCTCTATTGACATATAGACAACTCATAACACCATTCTGAGGTCCATTTTAGATTTCCCAAATGGGTATCGATGAGATCATTCTACAGAGGTGACTCAGCCTCCATAGTTATTTTGATCTTCCTCAATCTTTCTTCCCACTTGGTGCCCCTGATTGGCCAGCTTCAGGCCTTCCTCCAGGCTAAGGTCAGCAGGAGATGCTCGCTTCCCCATTCTGTGTGCTTAATTGTTGTCTCTGACTGCTGTGAGTTTTGTAATCTGTCCTCTTGGGAAATAAGGAATCATTGTGACTTAGTCACTGGGCTGCAAATTAGTTCTCTCTAAATGCTGGGAAGAGAGCATGCTCCAGCATTGTAATAAGCCCAGGGAATAGCAAAGACTTTAATGTCTTGAGAACAGCTCCCAAATAACTGTTTGACATACAGCAGTTTCCTACTCAATTTTCTCTTCTTAAACTCAGTACACGCTTGTTGGCAGTTCTTAGCTGCACTTGATGACTAATAAGCTAGATCTGATAAAAGGAGTGAGCCAAAATCCTATTTCATTAAAGTTCATGTAGAAACAAATGGATGTTGGCAAGATTTGCATGATGGGGTTGAAGTATTAAGTCCTGAGCAGTAGACCTCAAATCAAAGCTGACCTCTAAGTGAATCTCACAACCCAGCGTTACATATCATCAGCATCTGATCATTAGTGAAATATGTATGATAATTAGTGAAATGTGTATCTTGGACAAAACATCTCGTTAGCCAAAGATGTAGCTTAGATAAAGCACTATGAGAATGAATTAACCTTTCCTTGCTTAGAAGCAGTGTCAAGGCCAACTAGTACAAAAACTTCCTTAGTTTCTCCTTGAGCCCTGGCCAGGCTTTAGGTGCAATCCAAAGGAAAAAATGAAACCAGATGTTTCCGCCTGTCATGTAATCTTTTTTGTGCAACAATACAAAAGATGGACCCTCTTCTAGCGAAGCTGGAGACCTTGCCTACAAGTGGAAACCCTGAGTATTGCTACCGTCATGTAGTAATGGTTAGATGCACTGCCTTGATCTTTATTATTCTGGCTGTATCCTTTCACTTATTATCCAATTGCTTTAAATTTAAGCAGAAGTAAAGACACTTCTTTAACGTGGCATCTGTGACATTTGTGCTGACCCTATCCACTGGCAAAACAAGGGTCTGTGGCAATAAATAGAGCAATCTTTCACATGTGGAGAAAAGGTGAAGAAATACACAGAACAAAAGTCTATGGGATAATTAATAGGAGAAAAACAAAGGGGAAATGGTTGCTTCCTTTTATCCTCATTGCAAAATAACAGCAGAAAGAGACACCCACTAATTATGAACAACAACCTGTTTATAAGACACAATAAACTTGATTGCCTCCTGCAAAGCAAAAGGTTTAATCTGATCTTTACCAGCACGTCCCCTGTGAAGCTGACAAATCTCCAACACCATGATAAGAGATGAGTATTTTGACATTGGTCTTGATTAACTCTGGAATTCACCACCTGGTTATGCCATTGCTGGAGCAGTATTGGAAAAGCCTGCAAAGTGTCAGTATGTCATGAGGATAAGGAAATCATCCAGCGTTAAACGATTCAGACACGAAGGAAATGACACCTTGTGTCGCAAAGGCCAATAAAATACTCTACTGATGGCTACTACAAAAACCCCCAGCTGTGCTATTCCATAATTGTCAGAAAAAGGGGGTTTTGACAACTTGTTCTTCTGTGCGTTCTGCTCCCTGCTGTGCAGGACAAGTCTCACCTCGGAGGAACACTAAAGTAGAAGCACGAGCTCTTACAAGACACATCCTATTTCCCAGAATGTCAGAAGATGATCTTAAGAAATTCAGAGGAGAGATACACAGAGGAATAGAGAGAAAATGATTTATTTAAGAAGAGAGATTGAAAAAGAGACATTGTGAGAGATGGCTTTTTTTTTTTTTTTTTTTTTTTTTTTTAAATAGATTGGGAATTCCAGAGTGACAATTTGTGGTATTGTAAATAGAGGTCTGATTTCCAGGAAGTGCTGGATGTGGAGAAAAGCAGATTCTCTAAAAGATGCCTAAAATAGAAGCAAAACGTCATTAAATAAAACATTTATGGAATTTCAGAAGGTATTCAAGAAATACAACGAAGAGAGGAGAGCACACAGGGATTAACTGCAGCTAATGGAAAAAAAAATGATAAAGAAATGAAGGCTGACACAAAAATTTGAGAAAAATATTTTGTGAATAGCCATCATCCAACTTCATTTAGTGTAACATTGACTTTATTGGAGCTATATCGGCGTGGGTGTGAGTCTGGCCTTCTGGTTCTGTGTAACAATTAAGACAATGGTATGAGCCCTGGAAAAGGGATTACAAAAAATGCACTGCCAAGACTGTTTTCCTTTGCCTGCAGGCTCCGCTATTTCATCAGTGCAGCTGCTGCTTCTGTGGAAAGACAGGAGGAAGTAAAGGCAATCAGAGAGAGAAGAGACAGCCCCCATTTCCCATTGCTCATTAGACTGGAGGAGCAATAACGAAGGTGCTAAAGGGACTTTTTCCCCAGGTGCTATCGTGCACCATGGACTCCAGCATGGAGAACTCCCACACGCACCTTACACACCCTTGGGTTGACTTCATGCCTGGAACCTGTAAAACTGCTGCTGTTCAAAAGGTATATAACCTGTCCTCCAAACACCTTCCCAATTGAGCTGAGAGGATCTGGTGGAGATGAAGACTACTCCTGTTATCTTGCTGGTTGCTGTCCTGTGTGTGGAGCAAGGTGAGCCTCTAATGCTGTTACCAATGAGAAGATGGAATTTAGGGAGCTATCAACAGCTTTGCAGTATTGCAGCGCCTCAGCCATGCTACTGCCAACTTCCAAATATACCCTGATTAACACTGAGCTCTCTATTTGCTGCACATATAAGATCCTGATAAAGTAATTCTTTCCAGCAGGCAGTACTGAGTGATATAGTCCTATGTTGCTACTGTATGCTGGGTTATATTCATAGAGTGGTCTACAGTATCCTTCTCAGCTATGCAAGTTGAAAGTGCCAGAAGACATAAGAAGGCATATTTTTTATTCATATTGGTTTTAAATATTTTACATTCTTTTCCATGCTGCTGCTTCTTTCATTGTAGGGAGCCATGTGCTGTGTCACATGTTTTGTTTGCTAGGAAATGCAGCAGTGAGGATTTTTATAGGTGAAATCAGAGTCAGAGGTGAAAGAACTTTTCTTGCATACATAATGTTAAAGGCATACTTCTTCCAAAAGGAAGCCTGAAGTATTCTAAATGTGTGTCTTCCTTCTGAGACTGATCCATGTGTATTGCTGCTTTGCTACTGGCACTTAGGAATAATGATCAGATTGCCAACATCTCCCCACGCCCGATGGTTTCCCAGAAACCATGATACATATCTAGCAGGGGTTGAGAAAGAGGCGTTTAATTAATTCTTGCTCTCTGATGTATCAAACCTTTACTCCCACATTATTCTGGCAGATGGCTCTTCTGTGTGCCTGAAAGTTTTGGACGGTTTTGGGGTGAGGAAAGGGGTATGTAACTGTACGAAAAAAATGACTTTGTGCCCAGTCCTGAGTGATGTGAGATCCAAGACTCTAGCAGAATACATTTCATTGGCATTTCATTTATTGATCTAGTGGGCTGGTGATGTTCTATGCTGATATTAGCTTGCAAACAGACGTGAAGACAACCAATTATACAGCATCTTTCTGTAGACCAGTCTAGATCAGAGAAAGCTAGTAATTCTAACTCAAGACTTCTACAGTCAAGATTAAAAGATCACAACTCTCCATACTAATACAAAGGCAGTCTTGGAGACAATCATTATTTTATTCTTCTCATGTACCTGGGGTTCCATTCCATTCCTGTGTCAAATTCTGATCAATCTGGTCTCACAGCCCAAAAAACACGGTCTGTTTCATTTGTTTCCATGATCTCAGCAGTATAGAACACATGACCAGAAGAAATCTTAAAAGGTCAAGATCTTTTTCCCGCTCCGATGCTGGGCCAGATCAGGAAGATGTCTGTCAGATGCAGCTTTGAAAGTTTCCAAAAAAGAAGATAAAATAGCCTAGAACTGCTCAGACACTTCTTCCTTCAATGAGCTAATCTAAATATCTAATGACCATCTCTTTTTATGTAGTTCTCCCCTGTTTTCACCATAGGGAGTTTATTACCTTCCATGCAGCTTCTTTTTTCTTCTTTGAAGAGGGTTACTGCGTCTTTCCTCAATGTTATCTTGCTTTGATTGAGAAAGTTAAATGCTTCAAATATTTTTTACAAGGCTGTATTTTCAAGATCTCTGACCACTTCTCCTCCCTCTCCTCTGGTCTCTCCAAGTGCTTTGCATATTTTTTGAAGTGCCACATACAGACTTGGACATCAGTGTTTCAGCTGAGGTCTTGACAGAGTGGAAAGGCCACCTTGCATACCTTCCACATGACATTGCTGCCTGTGTTCCTTTGAGTGATGTTTGTTTTCATTGCTATAATGTGACACTGTTGGTTCCCACTGTTTAAACTGCCATTCTTAATTGTAACAGAACCTGTTGTTTCTCATCCTACATTTATGGGGTCAGTTTTTATCTTAGTACAACATACTTTTCTTTATTGAACCGCATGCATTCTTTTTTTTTCCATTCCTTTGTTACATCCACAGATCAAAATCACCTAGAACTCTGCTTACAGTACATTTTCAGTGATGTTCTCCTCCCCCCCGCCTCCCCCCCCCCCCCCCCTTCCCTTCCCTTCCCTTCCCTTCCCTTCCCTTCCCTTCCCTTCCCTTCCCTTCCCTTTCCCATCTTTCCTTGCTCTTCCCTTCCTTTTTCTCATAGAATCATAGAATGACTTGGGTTGGAAGGAACTCTGTTGGGGGAAGGGTTGCCAACCACTAAATTAAGCACTAGATCAGGGTTCATAAGGTCCCATCCAGTCTGGTCATGAATGTTTCTAAGGATGGACCATCCATATCTTTTGATGCAGCCCTGGACATAGCTGGCTCTCTGGGCCACACTGAGTGCACACACTGCTGGCTCATGTCCCACTTTTCATCCACCAAGACCCTCAAGTCCTTCTCCATAGGGCTGCTCTGAAAGACTTCTTCTCCCCGTCTGTATGCATGCCTGGAACATAAGTGCCCCAACATGAGTGCAACACCTTGCACTTGGCTTTGTTGAACCTCATGATGCTTATAAGGGCCCACCTTCAGATTTATTCAAGATCCCTCTGCATGGCATCCCTTCCTTCTTCTGTATCAACTTGTCATGGTTTTATAATATTTTTATTATCAGTATTCCACATCATAACATCATGTAGTACACTGGGAGTTATAGATGCTCCACGGGTCCCACCCGCCCCATTAGTCACGGAACTGGGCTGAACCAGCCCATAAACTGTTTACCCAACTGCACCACTCTGCTTGGTGTCATCTGCAGACTTGCTGAGGATTCATTCAATCTCATCATTCTATGTCATAGATAAAGATGTTAAAGAGTATCAGTCCCAAGACAGACAGCTGGGGACACTAGTAGTCACCAACCTCCACCTGGCCATAGAGCCATTGACAACAACCCTCTGGCTATGACTATCCAATTCCTTATCCACTGAATAGTCCACTCTTCAAACCTACATTCCTCCAATTTAGAGATAAGGATATGGCGTGGGATCATGTCAAAGGCCTGCACAAGTCCAGGTAAATGACATTGGTTGCCTTGCTTTTGTCCACTGATGCCAACACTCCATCACAGAAGGCCACCAGATTGGTCAGGCATGGTCTTCCCTTGGTGAAGCCATGCTGGCTGTCTCAGATCACCTGCTCATCCCCCACGTGCCTTAACATCTCTTCCAGGAGGAATTGTTTCATGACCTTCCCAGACAAAGGTGAGACTCACTGGCCTGTAGTTCCCCAGGTCCTCCTTCCTTCCTTTATTATAAACAGGAGTGATATTTCCCTTTTTCCAGTCACTGAGGACTTCACCTAACAGTCACATGATCATCAGGAACTTCTAATTTAATAGTTTCTCTGAAATACATTGCCCTTATACTTCTTTGTAGCCAACTTCTTATCAGGCAAAACCACACTCACAATAATGCGTCCTCTAGTTGCGTTCTGCCCTTTCTGTACTGATAGTGTCCCCACATCTACCAGGAGCTTGGCAAGCATTTTGCGCTGATTCACTTTCCAAAAATATCTGTGTTTTTAAATAAACTAATCCCCTCTCCTACACACACAAACACATATTTTGCTCTTGGTGATTTTGAAAGCTCAGAATGCAATCGCCACAACCAAGTCTATAAATCAGTTAATCTGCTGAGCAAGGATCTGGTTTCTCATGCACACTGTGTTTCTGTTTTTTGCTGTTGTTGTTGTTTTGCTGTTTTTATTTTTCTCTCCTTTTATCATCACTTTCCATAGGCTTTCATTTTTACTTTACAACCTTCTGTATCTCACAGCAAGCATAAGCATCCTTGACAGACAGGACAACTCATCGTTGTCTGCCTGTGCTGCTGGTCATCTTCATCTGTATTTCAGACAAATACAGTTAAACCATTCTTTTGGTTAAGACTTCCTATTTACTGTCTGTGTTACAGCAGTTTGCAGAAGTTCAACACAGCATCTAACTGCTCTCCCCAGGCTCCTTAGGACTGAGGTTAGGCCAGCTCAGTTAGTGGTGTCTGACCTCGAGAAAAGATACGTGACAGCACTCTCCAATACGACTGAAAGAAAAGTAGGATACTAGGCAATGTCCATCTCCTCAAAATACTTCAGGACTCAGGCATCCTCAAGTTTTCCATGGCAAACACTTTTGGAGAAGCAAATAAGTAGTCATTGACAATCCATGTGAAGGATCTCTCAGGATAGAGAAGCTTTTGCTCAGCAATAATCTCCATCATAAAAGTCTCCCAAATCCTTGAATTCCACTCACATCTACTGCTGCCAGAGATTGCAAACAGATCAATAATACTTCTCAGTCTGAGACATATGAGACAGAGGGATTTAACATTGCTGCTACAGGTCAAGGGATAAAGCAAGTCACTGGTCATCTACACGTGAGAATGTGTCAGGATATAACTAGGAAAAATGTAGATATTTAGATTGCAGGTATTGCAGTTCTTAAACCACAAAACGCGCTCCTTTATTCCCTCCCACCCAGGTTATCCATTTATGTGCTATGTGTGCCAAGAACAGGAGTCCAACAAGGACTGTTTAACCATTTCCATGTGTGCAAAGGAAGACAAATATTGTGTGACTGTCCGTGACAAAGTTGGAACAAGTAAGTTACTGAACAACTCTTTATTTGTGCTGTAGGAAAACGAGTCCTATGAATTCATGCCAGTCACAGCCACATATGGAAACAATAGACCCAGTCAACAATTGTTAGGAAACCCTGCTGCTCCCTATTGCAAACACTGCAGTGTTGCTTGATATTGTTATCAAGAGTTGGGGAAATGCTGCCACCGTGTATAGGAACACCAGTTAAACCATAATTCTGGTTAAAACTTCCTATTTATTGTCTATCTTGGAGTAATATGCAAAAGTTCAACAGAGCATCTGACTACTCACCCCAGACTTTTCAAGGTCAAGCTGGACCAGGCTATGATCTGGCTGTAGATGTCCCTGTTCACTGCATGGGAGTTGGACCAGATGACTTTTAAGGGTTCCTTCCAGCTCAAACGATTCTATGATTCTATGATAATTTCACTTTAGAGACAGATATAACTCAGAGCCCAGAGGAGTCATTCATCATATATCAGCAGTATTGACATGGCCAGACTGCTGCTAGTCCTGAGAGGACATATTTGCCTTGGGGACCACTCCCTGGCCTCTTTTTTTTTAATAATCACCACTGCAGATTTAGCTAGGAAAGCATTATAGCAATAATCCTTGCACTTTATTCTTTCTTTTTTTCTTTCCCTTCTCCTCTGCATTAGACTCTGACAAGCCTAAGTATGTCATCTCTAAGATGTGCTCTCCAACGTGTCCAGAAACAAGTCAGCAACAAAACCAAGCCCACCGGAATGTTTCATGCTGTGAGAAACCATTGTGCAATGTGAATGGAGGCAGCAGCAAGCAAGGCAGCTATGCAGCGACGTTCCTGGGTGTCCTAGCTAGTATCACTTACATTTTTGCCTGTGGACAGTGATGGCTTAGGAAAAGCACCCTGTGTTGGCATTATTGTCTAAAATAAAATTGTGTTACACCGGGATAATTACTGCTCTAAGAGCTCATGACTTGCAGATGAGCTTCGCCTGGGATTTTCAAGAATCTCAGTAAGTTAGATGCTGAACTCCCATTGATTTCCTAATCCTCCTTGAACCTGAAGTGTCTTCAGACAGTCATGTCATCTAAGAAAACACGTAAAAGACCCTTTTGACATGTTCAGGCTTCAAATAGTTACAGCTCTGAAGATAATCTTGAAGACATACTTTTTTCTCTTTGAGTTTTTGAACACCATGCGGAATAGCAATCCACCCTGCCAGAAATACAGGTAATAGTTCAATAGTTATGTCAGCACAGTGGAGAAGTTCAGTACCTTCTTCAGGTCACAATATGTCGGTTAACAAACATCAGTTCATAAACAAGAAAGAAGAGATAAATCTTATTTCTGGCAATTTCTGGAAATTCCTCCAGCCTCAGTCGGCAACAATTTCTGGTTCCCATGGCTATTTGCACTTGGAAGGGTATCTATCATGAGCATTCTTCATCTCCCAGCTCTGATGTGCCAAATGAGTTTGGAGAAAAGGCAAAGAGGAACAAATGAGACCTAGAGAGGAGATGCAATGTCTGGTAGTGGGGAGATGGAAGGGAGAAGGAAATGGTTTGGCATACACAGACCTGGTCCAGCTGGAAAAGAAAATGTCTCCATACCTATTTCCTTTTTTTTTTCTTTCAGGGCCAACCCAACCCAACTGCTATTGCCAAACCCAGTCATTTAGAGACTGTGAGATAGCTTTAAGAAAACCATAGCTTAGAAATGATTGATTGTGCTGGGCTTTGTTAGATTCAAGGCTCTTTGCTTCCTCCTCTCCCAGCAAGAGCTGCAGCTGAAGGGAGGCAGAAATGGCTCTGTATGAGGCCTGGAGATGTCTACGAAGAAGAGGGGCAGGCAGCTAAAGACTAACATAAATACCCAGAGCTTCCTGGTCATAACCCCTGCTGCAAGCTCACTTCTCCGGAACGAAAATAAAAAAGGGAAGAGTTGGCAGCAAGACTAGCTCAGCTAGTCTGACACCAGGACTCATCCAAACAATTCAGAGTCTTTGTTTTGTGGTTGTTGTAGCTGTTCTTTCATTTATTTATTTATTTATTTATTTATTTATTTATTCCTTTCATAAGATGCTTTATTTGCTAGCTAAATGAGATCTTTTATGAGATGATTTGCCTAAAGCATTATCTTGAAAGTCAGCATATTTTTGACTGCAAATCTGGAAGCATCCATTGCTGGTGCTGGCAACAGAATCTTGGTTTCTATAATCATGGGACTCAGTAAGATTGACAATTAATTGTAAGAGATGGAATCAATCTCAGAGAGTGGGGAACATGCATCCTTGCCAGTCTGGCCAACCTGGTAAGGAATGATTTAAGCTAGGAAAGAGGGGGGAATAGGAGAGTTACAGAGAGCACCCAGATAGCAAATCAAAGCTGAAGTGTGGATACCTCCATCAAATGCTGGATTAAAGGACAGACTACGAGGATGACACTGTTGTGGGTGTTTGCTACAGGACGCCTGATCAGGGGGAGGAAGTAGGTGAGGCCTTTCATAGTGGAGTTCTGTATTCTTTGAGGAGAAAGCAGGGTAATAAGTAGAACTGCAGAAGTGGACTGCAGGAGGGCCAACTTTGGCCTCTTCAGGGACCTTCTTGAATGAATACTATGAGAAGAGTCCCTAGAAGGAATAGAGATCCAAGATTAATATTCAAGGATCACATCTAATAGGCTAAAGAATGATGCATCTCCGTGGGCAAGAAATCAAGCAGAGTGAATATAAGACCTCCATGGATGAACAAAGCATTCCTGACAAAACTCAAACAGAGGTGTGTAGGGAGTGGAAGCAGGGACAGGCCATTTGGGATAGAATATAAGGATATTGTCAGAGTAGGCAGAAATGCGATAAGAAAGGCCTGGGCACATTTGCAATTAAATCTGACTAGGGATGTCCAGGACAACAAGAAGAGCTTCTTCAAATGAATCAGCAACAAAAGGAAAACTAAAGAAAATATGGGCCCACTGCAGAACGAGGCAGGAAAACTGGCAACAGAGGATGAAGAAAATGCAGAGATACTGAAGGACTTCTTTGCTTCAGTCTTCACTACAAAGATCAGCATGAAGGAATCTCTGATTCAGGAGACCAGAGAGAAATTCTGGAGAGAGGAAGAATTTCTCTTGGTTGAGGAGGACTGGGTTAGAAATCATTTAGGCAAATTTGACATCCATATATCCATGGATCCTGATGGGATGCGAAAAAAGAACCAGGGGAGATGGTGGACATCATGGTTAATCATCTTTGAAAGGTCTTGGCAATCAGGAGAGGTGTCTGATGACTGGAAGAAAGCAAATACCATAAAGCAAGTACCATCCCAGTCTTCAACAAGGAAGATCCAGGAAACTACAGGCAAGTCAGCCTCACATCAGTTCCTGGGAAAGTGATGGAATAGCTTAGGCTGTCTCTAAGCATGTGGAAGACAAGAAGGATTCAGCAAAGGGATATGCTACACTAACCTATTGTCTTTTGTGATGGGACAACAGGCTGGATGAGGTGAGAGCAGTGGATGTTGTCTACTGGGATGTCAGCAAGGCAACAGTTTCCCATGATACCTTCATAAGCAAGCTCAGGAAGTGTGGGCTGGATGAGTGGATGGTGAGGTGGATTGAAAATGGCAAGTCTCAGAGGGTTGTGATCAGTAGCACAGAGTCTTTTGGAGGCCTGTAGGTAGCAGTGTCCTCTGGGGTCAACACTGGTTCCAGTATTGTTTAAGTCATTTATCAATGATTTTGGTGAAGCCTCCTCTGAAAGTCTGCTGATGAAACAAAACTGGGAGGAGTGGCTGATGCCCCAGAATTCTGTGCTGCTATCTGGAAGGATTTTGACAAGCTGGAGAGATGGGAGGAGAAGAACCTCTTGTAATTCAACAAGGGCAAGTGCAAGGCCCTGCAACTGGTGAGGAATAACCCTATGCACCAATACAGCTGGAGGCAGACCTGATGGGAAAGTAACTCTTCAGAGAAAGACCTGGGAGTCCTGGTGGACAAAAAGTTGGCCATAAGCTCCCAACCAGGGAAGCTGGATCTTCAGAGGTCCCTTCCAACCACAACCATTCTGTGATTCTGTTATTTTTGAGATGTTTTACACTGCCAGGATAGAAAGCAACTGGTTTTTTTCCAGTACTTCAAAGGTGTTTACAATCAGGAGGGAGACAGACTTCCTATATACTCTGATAGTGAAAAGACAAGGGGGAATCATTTTAAACTAGGGAGGGTAGATATATACTAGGTGTGAGGGGCAAATCTTTCACTCAGAGGTTGGTGAGGTGCTGGAAGATGCTGCCCATAGAAATTGTGGATGCCTCATCCTGGGAGGCATTCAAGGCCAAGTTGGAGTCCTGGGCAGCCTGATCTGGTGCTAGATCTAGTGGTTGGCAGGGGATTTGGAACCAGATGATCTTCAAGGTCCCTACCAACCCAAACACATTCTATGGTTCTATGGCCAGCTAAAGATGCCCACCTTTCGTGTTTCCACTGTGATCTCTAGAGCCTGGTGCGTGGCCCGTGTTTTAGATATTTAATTCTGTGTCTGGGAGGGAAATGATTCTGCCAAGGGAAGGAGCTGGCAGCAATGTTACAGGCTATGGTGACCATGCTGCTTCTTGAAACCACAAAGACATGCACCACAAATACCCTATGCAGAGAAAATGGAAGGCACGTCTTCCAAGAGGCCCTGCAATACATTAGATGCTCTCCAAAAACTCTAGGAAAGCTGGGCTCAGGGCCAGAGCTATTACTGTCTTTAGCATCAGACAAGTTAGCACAGGAAAGGGGAAGCAGGAGTAATTTATGCCTCAACCACTTTCACTGAATGGGAGAAAGCAAAGCGAGGTCAGTTGGCGGGGAGGGAAGGAGTCAAAGATTGAGAAAAGTACAGTGAGACTGGCAGTCTGAGGGGCAGACTCAAGTTGCCTTCCTTTTCTCTTCACCACACACCCTTGTGCTGCCTGCTGATAGCACCCAAACAAATATTATCTCCAACAAGACAAAATGAACAGAGGAGTCCCTATGTCTGCCTGTCTCCAAATTCAGAGGGAACCCCTTCCTTTCTTGAAACTTTTGGATTCCACCTGGATGTACAAGGATTATGGTGATTGAACATTTGTGGGTGAAATGCCTTCAGATTTTCACTATTTTAAGTATTTTTTTAAAGGGATTTACCTGTTTCATGGCCAGTATACACTTAGCTCCCAGACTGAAAGCCCACAGTGGTGAATGAGGAGCTGAATGTCTCTCAATAGTAACTACTCAGGTAGGGTTTATGACTGGACTTTGTCAAAGCTGATGCTCTGAGTGGGAAATCACTGAAATTCCTTGAGAGAAATAAAGAGGGACACTTAGAGTCATAGAAATGAGTTGGAATGGACTCTTGGGAATCATCTAGTCCAACTCTCCTGCAACGAACAGGGACACCTACAGCTAGATCAGGTTGCTCAAAGCCCCTGAGCCCCTTCAATGTCTCAAGGATGGGTAATCCACCACATTTCTGTCCTTCTTGCTTGGGCATAAGCCATGAGTTATATGTTGTCTGGATAAGGTCCAAGCTCATCTTCACACTGGTAACAACCTTTCCTGGGCTGAAGAAAGGTGCAGGTCACAGATATGGGTTCCTATGGCCCAGGAGTTTGGGCACAGACTGACAAATCACCTCTTCCTCCATGGGAAGAATCAAATTTGCCTTTTCCAATGAAGCAACAGTGCATGGCCATACCCAGGATTGTGCTGCTGGTCATCTCCAGCATTAACTGCATTTGTTGGCAGCAGACATCCAGATGATGCTTAGAAATGCTCCTTTAGCATAGAATCTGTTCCAGGAGCAGACACCTAGGTGATACTTAGAGGTGCTCCTGTTCTGCAATCCCACAATAACTTTGAGTTCCA